GGGCATGGACGGTTCGGATGCGATCTAGCCCTGGGAGTGCGACCATCTGAGGTCGCCACATGTGGTCGTGCCATTGGTCCCGTGCTGCACACTGCCCTCAGCCGCGTGTCGGCATGCTACTGGCCTACCTAAAGCACCTATATTATTTGCTCTCCACTCTCGAGGCCATGGTGGAGGTCTTAGCTGAGGACCTCGGCTTCGGCCAAAGAGAGTGTGTCATCCTTGCTGGGAGACGCTGAGTGGCCTTCTATGGCAAGGGCCTCGACTACGGCTGAGCTGGTGAGAGTGGTCTTCGGGCGTGGAGGTGCATGCCTCAATTTTGGAGATGTTGAGGATAGCCCGACTTGGGAGCGTGGAGACATCAGTTCTGGCTTAGACTAAGTGCTAGCCTATGAGCATGTAGACATCGTCCGAAGTGATGGTGCCCTGAGCAGAGGAGGTGAGATCTCTGTTGAAGAGGGGTGCGCATTCGTCGAGAGGTGTTTAAAGGGGGCTGCCGATGTATGGCCGCCGTCCGAGGTGACGATGCCCCGAGCCGAGGGGATGAGACCGCTGGCGAGGAGGGGCGGGTGGAGGGGGCCGTTGAGGTGTGGCCACCGTCCAAGGTGACGATGCCCCGAACCAAGGAGGCGAGTAAAGGAGGCCGCCGAGATGGGACCGCTATCCGAAGTGACGATGCTCCGAGCCGAGGAGGGGGCGCATTTGTCGAGAGGCGGGCAGAGGGGGCCGCCGAGGTGTGGCCGTCATCCAAGATGTGGCCACCATCCGAAGTGACGATGCCCCGAGCCAAGGCGGGCAGAGGGGGCCTCCAAGGTGTGACCTCCATCCAAAGTGACGATGCCTCGAGCCGCCGTCTGAGGTGTCATTGTTCCCTTCAACATGTATGTTTTGCCATGATTTGTGCCAAGCAGAGGGCCAATGCTAGCTCTTCAACCTAGATAAGGACTTGCTCGCTTGGAGGGTCTTCCGAGGCTGAGGCCAATATCAAGGGTCACCTCATTAAATGCAGTCGAGGTCCCTTAGATCTCTTGCAAAAAAAAGGGCAAGCAAGCATGTGACCTCCAAAGGGTCGTATGCCTTGGGTCGACATCCATTCTTCAACCTACATTCTTTGATTGTTGATTTCTCCCTCTACTCTTGCCGCCCTTACCCTATTCGATCTCTAGTTCTTGGAAATGATCAAAATTGGATCTTGATATTGTTTCTTACTGAAAAAAACAACATTGAAGTCGTGCTCACACCCCTTGCGTGATTCTTGCTGAAGAATTAGGATTCTCACTAAAGAATCTCCTTGCTAATCCTGCCTCATCCTACACTATGTCATCTTCAGTGGAGGTGGGTTTTGGTAACCTCTTTGGGCGTGAACACCTACGTTGGGAGCTACTTGCGTGGATTCTGTATCAGGTATTCCTCTCCATTCTTTGGTTTCAGATCTGGTTTGGTTTGTTCAAGAAAAACCTTTGAAAAACGTAATTTTTCTAAAATTGGGAATGTGATTCCCGGAAGGGAAAAAGAAATTTTTGAAATTTCGCACAACCACCCTACATGGTTCGACCATCCATATGATGGATCTCCCTTCCCTTCAAACTGTGGATTGGGGGAAGTCTTAGCAGTCATTCCCACAGACGACGCCAATTGTTGATGCTCAGAATGGACTGAAGACAACTCTATAGCTTCGCTCCTCGAACAAGCTGACAGATGGAAGAGTCTGAGGGCTACTGAGGCCGAGGACCAGTGGAATCCGAGGTCTGTTGTGGCCGATGACCTGTGAAGTTCGAGATCTGCTAAGGCCGAGGACCTGTGGAGTCCGAGAATTGCTAAGGCCGAGAACCAATGGAGTTCAAGGTTTGTTGTGGCCAAGGACCTGTGGAGTTCGAGGTCTACTGTGGCCGAAGACCTATGGAGTCCAAGGTTTGCTATGGCTGAGGACCTGTGGAGTCCGAGAACTAGTGAAGTCTAAGGTTTACTGTGGTCGAGGACCTATGGAGTCCGTCTTGCAGGAAAGGGAACGTCAAAGGCCCCGGGTCGATGTTAGAGGCGGGGACTCCGACGATCAAGTTAGTAGGAGTGTGGCAAAGAGGGTAGACGAAGCCTGAATAGTGTAGCTCAGACGAGGTCGCCAAGAAGCTAAAGAGATTGGGGTAACTGGTTTCCAACCCAGGTTCCAAATTCTTACCTTGAGGGGGATTAGCTCCTATTTATACTTGAAACCGTCTGGAGGTAGACGGGCATAGACGGTCGGGATGTAGTCCAGCCTTGAGAGCACGACTATCCAAAGTCGCCACGTGTGGTCACGCCATTGATCCTGTTCTACACGCCACCCTCAACCACGTGCCGGCATACTATTGGCCTGCCTAAAGCGCCTACATCAGATAATCAGCCAATATGAGCCAATACGTAACAGTATTTTGAAACTTGCAATGAACACCGCTAAAGAGGCCGAAGTTGTGGTCTATCAAACCTTCCCATCTTTTAGCTTATCACTTAGTCTTCTGAGCACACGACGCCAACAACCCATTCAAACTAAAGTTCCTCTCATCTAATAGTTTAACCAGTTGAACCTACCTTTGTCAAATTGGATTCGTGACTTTTGAAATTCCATTTTTAGTCAAACTTATTTGACCATCTCTAGTCTTCAAAGCACCCCCACCCGAACTGGAATCACCCGCCAACAAAATATGTACCAACTTATATCTCACTATGAAGCCCATCATAAAAGTGAGATCGGTCATGTATGTGGTTGATCCGGCCTCAAACTCCCCTCATTGACTCACCCTTCTACTCAAATAGTTGGATAACATTACATGCAATCACCTGCGCATAAGATTTAACCTGGGCCGTTGGATCAACCGCTTATGTATGAGATTTTCTTATAAAAGAAGAGCCATGTTCCATGCCTTTCAACTTCCAGCCTTTTGCTCTTCCTTGTGTTAAGTTCTTTCCCTCAACATTTTGGCCTCGTTCATTTAGAACTTTGCAACTTACCAGGTAAACATTTCCTGGGTAAATTCATTTACCCATGTTCTTTTATTTCTCAAGTTTTCCAAGTAATAAAATTACATTTTTACTCATAAAAAGTTGATATTAAAATGGTCAAAGTTGTCCTATCATGTTTTGTAAAATTCCCCCAGGGAAAAAGTTACTTACTCATCCATTAGCCAACTTTCCCCACCTTATTTACTGTAAATGTAAATGAATGGGGCCTTTACGTCCTTTCTCTTTTCACATACATCATCATCTTATTCTCCACCGTCACCTCTTCACCATCAAGCTTCAATGGATGAAACAATCCATGCTTCATATGCAACCCCATCAATGAAAACTTCAATAATACGTGGCACCAGCTCTGGTTTTCAACCATCCTTATCCTGGCTGCATTGAAGGTCAGATACATCTAGAAGTACCAATTCTCCTCTACAAAGTTTTGCAATCTTTGTGCACAGAGGTAGCCCCAATATTCTCGAGAAATAGCCCCTGTCGGTTTCAATACTTTTACATTACTGGAGTAAGCCCACCTTTGTAATGTTACCAGTTCCTACTTGGTCACTACTGATGTCGCAGCAAACTATGACAAACACTGTGGGATAACTACCACTGCCTTGTTTACTTCAAAAGGAATAATCTTTATCTTGCCTGCAAACTTCAAGACCCCTTTTATTTCTTCACCCAACACGCTCAATCTTTTATTTTTTCTTTCACCGAAAGCACTAATCTCTTTTGTCATTCTTTAGAATCATTAATCCAAAGTTTTGGTTTCTCTGACTTTGTAATGAAGAGAGCATCCTTTCCAGAACCAATTTTACCATTAATCTTCTCAGTTGAATAGCTGACCTGCGCTTTAGTTTCTTCCTTTTTACTTCCCCTCTCTGCAATTTTTTGAGTTTCAACATTGCTATCCAAGCACTCTTTTATCATCCTTGCTATCTGCATCCATCCTATAGCTCTTTTTCCTTCTGGGAAACATGTGTATTGCCTTCACCTTCTTCATAAATCAACCCTTCCTTTCTCTTTCCTTTCTGCATAATATTTCCTACCTTCTTTGACATGACAGTCCTTCCATTCCTGTCTTGGTTCTGCTCCTTTTGCTCCCTCCAAAATCTTCTGGAACACAATTTTGCTCTTCCTGCTAGTATCAGGGAAGCTCTTCTCAATTCTACAATCTTCAAAACTGTAGTTTTCCTTGTTAACACTTCTTCCAGGATGAACATCTTTGCCTCTGTCTTCGAAACCTTCATCTTCTTGCTGGTGTGAATTCTTCATCTTTTTAGAGAGTCATAAAATTATCATGGTACAACAATCACACATAGCTCATCACTCTACCTTAGTTTTTGCCAAAGAAAAGAGGAACTCAATATATAATGAGAAAGAAGACCAAAAGAAGTAAAAGATTTTGCATTTTATTTCTTGCAGGACATCAATCAACAAGAAAGAAAAGTTGCAAAGCCCAATGGAATAGGTACTTCATTAGACATTTTATACTGAAGTACCTATTCTATTGGACTTTGCAACTTTTCTTTATGAGATATTTTATAATGAAGCATGGTTTATTATGTCCATTATCTTTGTTTAAGTTGTTATAGTAATGTAGATTTCATATTGCGAACATGTTTATTGTGTAATGAAAACAGACATATTGATAAGAAAAATGAAAAAGAAAAACTCGTAAAGCTTAGGCCTTCCATTTTTTAATTATAATTTCGATGATGGATAATTCATAACAAATTAATGACATGGTTAGGACCAAACAATTTAATGTCAAATGAGTAAGTCAAAAAACTATTGACTAACATTTAACAACAAGGTGTCATCCTATCGAACCTTGGCAATGGAGTCAACTTGGGGGAGTCAACATTCAATGAAACAAACAAATGCGTATAACTCAGAAAAGCTTCACAGCCATGCATTCCACATATAACTCAGTTGATCACAAACAAATGCGAATTTCTTACTTTAATTTTTATTTTCTGGGGGATCTTCAAATGCAAGACAAGCCAAAACGGTAGAATCTAAAGCAATCAAAGTCATATATTTCAAAAATCCAAAAGAATACATCTGCAAAAAATTATATGGAATATTACAGAAGTTCAATGATCTGTAAGTTTGAATATCATATTTGACAGTGATTTGCATGTCAAATTAGTCAAAAAACTGCAACAACATACCCATATCAGTATATCACAATAGAAGATTCACCCATACAAGAATACTTGTAGAGGGATCATGAACCTCCTTGCAGTACCAACCAAAAGCAACTGTACTAGAACACCTGTTTCACACCATAGGAGCTCCGCATATTTAAAAGACTTCAACGCCTTCAACCAGAACCTTATAACGCATTGCAATTGCAAGACCCAGATACTACCTTGACAAAATAGGTACTGATACAGTGTTGATATGGTATAATTCTGTATAGAGTCAACCCCTCCTCCAAAACGGGTGGAACAGGGACTATATCAGAAGCTAGACAAGTTCAGAACCTCCCAATGAAAGTGTGTTCCTCTGTAATGTTCTACCATTTCTGGATGCAAGAAAACCAACAGAAGGCAATGAAGGATCTGTAACAGGTTCTATCTCAATAAAGGCAAAGTCAAAGGCACCAGAGCGCTTCAAACTGAAGACAAATACAAGTATGATCCATCCGACCATAGAAATAGCCCAGTAATTGTTCATCCCATGGATCAAACCCCAAGCAATAGAGTACCCAACAATAATTCCTGATAGATGTCCAAGAAAGCTTGCCTGTGGAACAATTATTGAAGTAATGATAAGAGACTCAAAAGGTGCAAAGCTGATAGGAAGTGAAAGGAATCCAAACAGGTCCAGCTTAGAGGATGGTTGCTTCACTGCAAGGATTGTCATCCAACCAAACACAACACATGAGTAGCCAACAGCTGTCACTCTTCGAAAATAGTCTAGCTTAAATTTCTGGATCAAAATATGGTAAATTCCTAGAACCAGCACCCCTGATAAGACTACCAGAATAAGAGTATAATGGAGATAGAATTTAACACCCAGACCCATGTGCCCTAGCTGCTCCACCACTCCAAGACTCCAAAGGGCGCTCATATTGAAAACCAAATGAAGCACACTTATGTGGGAGAATGCAGAAGTTATTATTCTCCAATAGTGGCCTTCAATAGCCGTTTCATGACTCAAACCCACATGTGCATACCCAATGCCTTTCTTCTGTATGTAAAACCAAATTGCACTGCATATCCCTATTATACAACTTGTTGCAGGCTTTTGCAGGATCTCATAGAATAGCGGTCTCCCCATCTCGGGAGGACCTATTTTTGTTACTCAAGCCTCAACCTACTTGAGTAAGACCCACTTCAGCAAGCCCAATTAATAGTGATGCTTGAATCGGAGTTCTTAGAACCCAATAACCAGTTCCAGCGCAAGGCAATCTCACTACATCATCCAATATACTAAACCCATTTGCACCAATTTTCTCATCGAAATCGTTCAAAACCTAGAAGTTGTACGAGACATTCACAATCACGTTACCAGAACAACCCTAAAAAATCTGAACTTCAACCCGTTTCACCATTTCATCACAAGAAACCATCCAAATAAAGATGAAACTATAAGACACAACTAAAAGAAACCCAACTCTAAATTACAGTTTTCTAGAAAGAACACAGAAATGCCAATGGATTTGAACGGAGAAAACGATGAAGTGAGCTTTCCTTGCGTGTTTTGCACGTAAGAGAGACCTCAAATCTAGGGCTTACAAAATCAAAACAAATTACATAAAATCAGGGTCTTTAAGGGATCTCCATCACCTCTCTGCAAGGATCCGAGCTCTTGTTTTGCCCTGAATTTCTGGCTTCTGCACGGTTACGGTGGGAACGTCGGAGCCAAACTGCTTCTACGTCTAGTTCCTTCTTCTCTCTAGACTTCAGTATGGTGTAATGAAGGTCTATTTAATGTGACTTAATTACCCCTATTAATAATTGCAATTACCGGGACAAGGACAACTCCTGAAATTTTAGTGATTACCCAAACACAGAGAAAACTTTGGCTGTCCGCTTGACAGCCTGTGCTGCACACAGGCTCCCTCCACGTGATACATTGATTCATTAGGTGGCGTTTGGTATAAATTCCTTTTATTTGATAAACAATGCCATGCCATTGCCAAATCAGTATTTATCCTATTATGCGAATTCATATGCATAGGTATTGATAAAAGTTGGTCTTAATTTATGTGCATGGCAATTGTTGGGAAAAACTTCATTTTAACGATTTTCCCAATAGTTAAGGCTTAGCTACCTAGATATGTAAATCAGGTTGTATCGTCTATAGCCTGACATGATTTTGAACCAGCTGGGCATGATGGTTCATGGGTCGTGCCCAAAACAGCATGATTGTATAGACCATGTCGGGCTTGGGGTTTCAGATCCGCAGGTCAGGTCGGCATGACCCATATATATTTATATTACATAGTATATAATATATTAATAAAATAAAAAAATTGTTTTCAATTTTATTATACAATTTTGTTTAATTATATTGTATATATAAACAATTGTATACAGCAAAATTCATAAAAAATAAAAATTTTAAGATTTTCTTTTCAATTTTCTAAATAAATAACTTTGTCCCGATCCATGGCCCAACCCGTGGCACGACACGTCATAGCACAAGCCCGTGTGGGCTTGGGCCATGGGCCGTGCTAGGCCGATCCCCCAAAATATCCTAGGGAAGGGAGGCACGACTCGGGATAGCACATGCATTTTGCACGAGCTACACGTGGGTCGTGTCGTGCTAGCCCAGCACAACCCATTTTATAGCTCTAGGTTAAGCATTTTATTCATTGTTCTGCTAATGTGGTGCCTAATGGCAGCTAGTTGTCAATAAATGATTTATCAAGTACTTTTTCTTGGTTTTGAAGACAATTCAACCACAAACGTTTATTTAATAAACGAAAGCTATACCAAACACCTATTTAATCTTCACTCTATTTGTTTCTCTTTTTGTTTTTTTTATGAAATCTTACCTCTAACTCTTGCATAGTTTTTATGCTAAATAATAGATTACGACCCTTTATAGTGGCATTTAGGTGGCGTTTGATAAATCTGAAATCTGAAAAATTAAAAAAATATTAAAGGCGTTTGAAATCTAAAAATAGACATAAATGCTTTTTGACTTTTTAGAGGCTCTAAACAGAAAAGGTTGTTTGTGTTGGACTTTCATTTGCAACAAATACCCTCAACTTTCACATTTCAACACTTTGCTTCCTCTCCATTAGAATTTTGTCGATTAATTTTAGAAGAAAGACTCTCATGACTGATATTTGTTTGATAAACATTTTTTTATAAGTAAGTTAAACATGCAAGGTGCCAATCAGCTGATTGATAAGGTCTCTTACTAATCGTAGCAGAGACTTGGGATCGAATTCCGCCTGCACCTAGGTTGGGAGATGGGATACCCCATTGTGTAGCCCTTCAAAAAATATAAAAAAGGAAAAAAAAAAAARATTGACCTAGGGAGATGACCATACAAAAGTACTCCCCTCCAAAAACTTAATCTTTGAAACAATTGTCCTTTTCCATCCAAAGCCAACACTATTCTCGGCAATGGAGATTATCAAGATTCCTTTCCACAATGAGAGCCATCTCAACAGCTTTTCAATTCAGCTTCATAGCATCTTTCATAAAGCCAGATTTGCGTCCTTTAGCCATAATAAAAGTTTCGTCCTTATCAAAACAGTACACACCAAAAGATATTCCAATTATAATTTGTTTTATACATAATCCAATTCATACTTCTATCCCTATTCAGAAAAAAGCATATCATTCCTACTAAGGATGTCAATGGATCAGCGGTTTTGGATTGGACTCCGTCCAGTCCAAAATCAATTTGGACAGATTGGACAGACCAACAAGACATATTGGATTGGACCAATCCGGACCAAAATATTTATTAGATTGGATTGGATCTGGTCCATCCTAACAAATTTATATTGGATTGTGTTAGATTAAGCCAATATCTGATTCATTGATATAAGATAAGAATATATGTGTCAATGGACCGGGTTTAGATTAAAACCAATCTAAATCAAAATGAATTTGAACATATTGGATGGTCCGGACATTGAATTGGACCAGTCCAAATTGATACAAAACGTTCATTGGATTGGATTGGACCTGCTCCATTTATAAGGGACTCACATTGCATTGGAACGGATTGGATCAAATCCAGTCTAATTGGCACCCCTAAATTTCCCAGTAGTCAAAGTGAAGTATCAAGTAATCACTAACCAAGAGACAATATTCTGGCACATTACTTTATTAAGGATTTGCTAATAAAAAAAAACGTCTGAATGAGCTGGAAACAAAATAATACACACCCGGCTGAGTTACTTATCACGGTTGAACACACAAGTACTCAATGTAGGCCCCATCTGGGACATAGCTGTACTGCACGCCAGTGTGTTCAACTGTGATAGGTAGTTCAGCCAGGTGTGTATATTTTTGTCTCCAACTAATCCGCTCCCAAAAAATTTAAGAGGTCCAAAATATCCCTCCACCCATTCTCATCAAACAAAAGAGTCTAAGGACTAGGAAAAAGAACCGAACGAACCAAGGGGCAAAAACATAGATATGCATAAGATTTTCTTGTTGTGATCCACAAAATATACATAAATCATCTTCTATGGTTCCCATCTTATACAATTTTGACCTAACTGGGATTGATCCCTGAATCAGTCTCCACAAAAAGAGTTAAGTTTCTTAGGAATTTTTAATTTCCAGGTGCATTTAAACTAAATTAAACCAAAATTTCTCCCAATCGCTTATTCGACCACAGTATTGTGTCTTCCCTCTTATTAAAAATGTGTGTGCCTAGGATTATTTGATATTCCAATGGGAAAATAGGCTGAATTAGATTCTAATTCCATTGACTCGTACCCTGAATTATTAGGTCTTTCACTGTTAAGACTTTGATGTTGTTTCTCAGGGGGGACCCATTAGACAGACAAATTTGCCATCCTCATAGATCCAGGGGAAGTCCCATATATTTAATTCAGAGCCTTTTTGGATTTGAAAAACTAATTGGCCTGCTAAAGCTCAGTTTGGAAAGACAGTACAAATAGATACAAAATATTACAAAATACCAGATTTTGCACCCTATATATTTGTATTTGTACTCCTTCCAAACTGAGCCTAAAGAGATTAGGCTCTGGTTTAAAGCTCTCCAGACATGAGAAGCTTCCTTTGGCACTTTTCTAGGGGTTTTTTTATTTGGTTTCGAAGATATTTACCTTTTAAAACCTTGGCCTACAAAGTGTCCTATTCATGCTAATTTGACTAACAGACCTTTATTAAGCCAGCCTAGGTTTATAAATCCTAACCCCCAAAATTCTTTGGTGCTCTCAGCTTCTCCCACCCCACCCATCTTAGCTTTTTCTTTCCATTCCCTTCTTGCCACCAGAAGTTTCTCTCAACTTTTTCCATCTCCTTAACTGCTATGTTTGGTTTGAAGGGAAAAGGTAGGGAAAGGAAGGGAGATGTAGGGAAACCTATATAAGGTTTGTAAAAGGTTTTTCTACATTTTCCCTTCCTTTCCCTACTTTTTCCTTTAAACCAAACACATCCTAATTGTTTTCAGAGAAAATTTGGTGACACTCATGCTATAGAGGAGAACCGCATGCAACACAGATTTATCAAGATAGGGAAGAAGCTTTCCAGCTGTTTAATTTTTGGTGCATTTTTTCCATCACATACTCTAGACTGATGTTTTTTATTTTTTCTTTCAAACACAGAGGGACCCTTAGATATCTTGAGTTTTTATCAAGATCAGCCATTTTCATTTGTCTCCTTAGCATCCTTTCTCTCCTGTGGAGAGTATTTTTACTGAAGAAGATACCTGATTTTTGGAAATTGACTCAAGTCATGAAAGTTTTTTTAACACATCTAAAATATTAACTGCCTCTTCTCTATTAGTTTTTCCAAACAAAAGAACATCTTAGCAAACAAGTGTGAGACTTGAGGGAACCATTTTCTTACATATTTGTATAAATCCTTTACTTATGTTTCTTTTTTCTTCTCTTATCTAAAGTGGGTGAAAAAAGAGATGATGTAAATTGCCTTGTCCATTTTTATCATTTTGAAATGTCATCCTTTCACCCATGTGAATTTTGAAAGGGTATTTTAGTAAATTAACCTTTTTCTGTTAATCTAATTAATAGAGAGAGGAAAGTGCTGAAATCTAAAAGTTTAGGGATTTGTCTCAAATGAAAGTTTAGGGGGCTAACTTTCACTACCGCCAAAGTAGAAGGTGGTAATCTATAGTTTCAGAAGAGAGGTCAACTGATTTATATTCTAGATTAACTGGCAAAGGTGAGCGACAGGGGAAGTCTCTGGTGGAGTGTAAGTATTCTTATCAGGTTTGGACTGTAAGCGCTTGGTCCAGCTAGGTGGATAGCTTATAAGTTCAAAGCGCTTCTCCCTGATATGGAGAGGGTGCTCATAATGATCACAAAACTGCCGGAAACATTGAGAGTTGTAGCATCAAGATTGGGTGGAACTCTTATTTAATATGCTCTTCTTGAAGAATTAGTGCATAAATCTTATTGAGAATCAGAAAAGGAACGAATGGATCATGTTGAATGAGTTCCCTGTCTCATGAGAAATTGGTTAACTTTTCCTTTCTCACATTCACCACTGCAATTGTAGTTAGGTAGGTGATGGAAGCGAGCTCATCATGAAGATTGAAGACACTACCACAGATAAATTTCTCTGTTGGAGCGTCATGCTTAAGTTGATGTATGCATGTAATAACACCTGTCCAAACCTTTCTTTAATGAAGGCACAGTTTTCAAAACTGGACTGGACCGAACGGTCGGACCAGAAAAACCGAGAACTGGTTCCATTTTCCCCCAAAACCATTGATTTTGGTCAATAAACCGCTGAACCGGCCGGTTAACCATTGAACGGTTTTGACTGTTTTTCAGTTTTTTAATTTTTTTTATTTTTTGTGTAACGAGACCCTTCGTTTTTAAAAACCATGAACGAAGGTTACAATATGAGAGCATTCTTTTTTTGGATTTTGAGAGGGAGAAAGTTGGTCAATGAGATTTTGATTCCTACTAACCAAGAATCCCATATTCATTTTTCATATTTATGTGAGGACTAGGGAAAGTTTACTTTTCTGGATATGTGATACCCATCTCCTAGATGGATAAATAACTTTTTCATCTGAATGAAACAAAAAATGTCCTTGGTCATTACCTTATTTACCTAAGAAATAAAAAAACATGAATAATTCACTTATCCAGGTCTTAAAAGATCCAAACTACCATTGAATTATATTTGATCGAGATGCTTTAACTCGATGGTCTCGACAACTATCCATCAACAAAACCATATTTATTTTTGGCTCGTAAGACGTTCTTCATCGCACGTTTCCAAGTCCAGAAATTGCCACCAAGGCAAGAAAAATCAGACCAGCTCCGGATTATCACAAGGATGAGATAAAAGGGCAAATTCATCGGATCGGATCTGATTTCCATGTTGGAGTTTCCCACAGTGGAACTGGAACCTCCGCCATTAATGCAGACCAGAGCAGAGCAGTTGGAGAACAAAGGAAAAAAAGAAGACAAAAAGAAACAGATCAGAGTTGGTTAGGCTTTGATACATGATAACTAGCACCGAAGAATGATGCAAACTGACACAATATTATTCATTCGATGAGTATTTATAGATACAAGTGTTCAACAGCCTTAGACAAGTGGGACCACGTGGCCTTTATACAATAAAGTTGTTACAAGTTAGAACCGACTATGTCTTACTCTCGTCTAACAAGGAGAGAAGAAAAAAAGAAAAATCTTTGTCCATGTCTGTAGTTCTTGAAGCATTGTCCTTGTCATCGCCACCGGGGTAAAATGAGGCTAACAGATCAGGTTGGTTTTAGGCATAACGAACTTGTTTGGTGGAATCAAATCCCTTTGGTTCCGACCTTCCAAACTTTGGCCGAAAGCACACTACCTTCACTAATTCTAGATATAATGGTCTAATCACACCAAGAAAACCAGTTAAATTAATCTCAAAACTAAGCATGAAAAGAGACGTGCATCACATCTATCACATACTTGAATTATAATCTATATCATTTTACTAGGCAGTGGAATCCAGAATTTAGGAAATATGTTCAATGCCAGAATTAAACTCATGGGGTCCCAAAATGGTGTTAATCATCAATCAGGTTTCTTCAAGTTTAAACAGTTGTCTGCTGCTTGGTTAAATAGCTCCTGGACCTGTTTCAATTCCTGTTCTGGTAGCAATGAAAGCATAGAGTTAGTTAGTGTAAAGCAAATAGCAAACTGTCTAAGTTTACAAATCTATATATAAGAGCAAGAGGAGTGTGTGGGGGCCAAGGGTCTCTCACCGTAGGCCTGGAAAGGAGTCTCTCTTCCTCTCTCCTTCATACATGTAAAATATTAAAAACCTTCTTATGCCTCCTTATAAAACCCTCTTATGTCTTAATTTTCTCTATTAAAATAAATCATTACTCTTCTCCAATAAAATAGTTCTTAATTCTCTCCCCCCATCTTTCTTCGATAGTCAATGTATATGACATCTTCCCTTCCCCCATTAAACCCTTATATCTTTGAAACTCTTTTGGCCCTGTTTAATAAAATATGGGTATAAATTAAAATGGTCGGGTGGGGTTAAGGGCCAACCTTGAACAAAGACCTTGGCCTGGAACCAAACTGATATCAAAACCTAAATTTGCCAACCCAAATCTATCAAAATTTTTATTCAACCCTATGCATTTGCATGAGTTTGCTTGCCAGTAATGGTATAAAGACCCAGTGAGCAATGCACACTGAAGTAAAAAGGGAAACATGGGCAAAAAATAAGGAAGAAAAACATCAATAAATGCCTGAAGTGAAATAAACAAGTAACTTGTCATTCTGGACCATACAATCTGTGCTGTAATTTTTTTCTGAACCATATGCTATCATTATTTTGACTGTGCAGTTGTTTAGTCATAGTGATTTATCATAAAGTAATTTTCTTGCATGGTCCTTGTCAAGGCGACGCCTAGGTGACAAGGCACCCTTGGAGACTCACCTCACCTAATCGCCAAGCAGTATTGTATTTGTGTTATAAATACTTTTATGTTCTTAATTTTTTGAGATTATAATTATAAAGTAGACATTATAACTTAAACTATTCATTTTGTGTGTTTATATACTAATTTCTTTATATTATTTTCTTATTTGCTAGCAATGTTTTTAAAATCGTGCAATTCATGATTTGAATCTAATCAGCCCCAAAATGATTCAAATTGTATGTCCTAATCGTTTTTTAAATTAATCGTGCGACTTATGTTCCAATCGTTGTATCAAATCATAAATCACAATTTAGAACTGACTTAAACGATTAGAGCCAAAACATAATTTAAGATAAAAAGACCATTTAGTCCTCCACTTTTTTAAAAGCTATACATTTACATCAAGGGGCAGCATTGTCATTTTATTTTTATCAACTTAAATAGCATCTTTAATCAATCAAAAGAGGCTTACTATTGAAGCTCCAATCCTCATCCCCTTGTTTGCATGAAAGGTAAGGATTTTTCTTCGTTTTTTTTTTTGATCAATAACAATGAATTTTATTAATAATTGAGAAAATCAGAATTTGCAAGGGAAGGAGCTAAAGAATCTTAACTCCCTACTACCCAATGTACACCCTAACCATGAAACAATTACAAAACAGCCCAAAAGATGGAGTTTCTGTTCACCCCTTGCCTGGCTAGACCGTCTGCCAATGCATTTGCATTTCTCTTTATCCATGTACAATGAATTTCAATGTCCTTGGTGAGCCACTTGAACTTCCTCTTTCATTGTTGTATTTCCAGAGCATAGAACTGTCCTCTTTTAGCCAATTCACCACAATTCAGAATCACCTTCAATGATCAACTTTTTAATATTCATTTCCTTGACCCTTTGTATCCCTTCAAGAGCTCCTAGACTCTCAGCCCTCAAGGAATCTCCCACCCCAATTGGACCAGGATACATAGCTAACAAGTTCGCTTTTTTCATCTCTTATCACTCCCCCTACTCCAGAGGGCCTTGGATTGCCCATGCTGCTGCCATCAAAATTCAGTTTGGTAAACCCATGAGGTGGAGGTGTCCAGCAGGAATTTAAGGTCTCCTTAATTGAGACTGAATCTGCAATATCCTTCCAATTTCTTATCATCTCATCAACTGAGAACATTGTAAACAATTCCAAGGTTTTCAACCAATGTATCACCCTAATGTGGATCGTCTCCAAGATTACTTCCAAACTTTTCTCCTTATTTGAGAATATCCTTGAATTTCTCTCCTCCCAAACAATCCAACACCGTAGGCCTTGCACATTCAAAGGGGAAGTCCACCTGCACCCAAACAAAGAAGTAAACCATTCCCAAATAACTTTAACAAACTGAAGAAATTAATAAATGGTATCCAAACTCACCATCGGATTTATAAAGGACACACCAGTGAGGAGACAAACAACTATTGGGTCTTTTTCTTTGAAGTGTATCCCCTGTATTAACTCTTTCTAGAAAGGCTTCCCAATAGAAACTCCCAACCTTTGGAGGTATAGGTCAACACCACACTTCTTTAACAAGGAAAGACAATCCAATAGGAAAAGGGGGTAAAAGGGCCTTAAAAAAAGAGGCACAAGTGTAGGAACCTGAGGGAGTGAGTGTCCATATTCTATTATCTGTCTTTGATGGCTCAATGAAGACCCCTTCAAGAATGGATAATAAGGCTAAAGTACAGGCTAACTTTGTGTTCCTAACATCTCTTCTCAAGCTCAAGTTCCACCCAAACCCAGAAGGCGAATTAAAAGGTACAATAAAAGAGGAAACTGGTTCAATTTTTAAGGGTAGAGATAGCAAAGAGGCCTGGAAATTGATCTTTCAAAGAGGAATCCCCAACCCAAACATGTTCCCAAAATTTAATAAGGTTACCTAAGTGCAAATCATACCTGATCCATGGAGAGAACAAGGGCAAGATGGCTTGAATAGCTTTCCAAGGAGAATCTCTTGTAGTCCTTGCTAGGATCCCAAAGTCCCATCCATTGTTTGCCAGCTCATGCATACTTCCCACAATCTTAACCCACAGTGTTTCTTTCTCCAATAAAAATTTCCACAGCCATTTCCCTAATAATGCTAAGTTCCTAATCCTTATGTTCCCAATTCCCAAACCTCCCTCCTCCTCCCCTGGCTCCCAAATAAAATCTTTGATTAGTTTTTCTAGCATGCTAGCCACCTTAGCCGGAATCTTAAAGATTGACAAAAAATAGATAGGAAGGTTAGCAAGACTAGACCTAATTAAGGTGATTCTCCCTCCAAGAGAAATAATTTTTCTTCTAGTTGGCAAGTCTCTTTTCAAACCTCTCCACAACAGGGGCCCAAAAAACACCTTTTTAAGGATTATTCCCCAGTGGTAAACCAAGGTAGTTTAAGGGCCAATTAGATACTACATACCCCAAAATGTTTGCACACTCACATACCTCCCCTTCCCCCGTATTGACTCCAACTATACAACTTTTTCTCAAAGTTCACTCTAAGGTTTGGCATTTGCTCAAAAAGTTGTATAGTGAGCTTTAGGTTTCTAATCCTATTGATATCCCCTCCTTCACAAAACAAATTTGTGTCATATGCAAATTATAGGCGTGTAAGTGGTATGTTTTCTCTTCCAACTCTCCAACCTCTTATTAAATCCCTAGAATCTGCTTTGGATATTAGTCTCCCAAGTACTTCTACAACCAATGTAAACAAAAAAAGGGGATAAGGAGTCTCCTTGTCTAATCCCTCTCAAAGCTGGGAAATAGTCTACCACTATCCCATTCACCAAAATGGAATAATGACAACCCCTAATGCAGCCCATCACCCATTTGCACCAATTGTCCCCAAACCCAAAGTTAATCATCACCTCCAATAGGAAGGGCCAATCAACCAAGTCATAAGCCTTTTCCAAATCTAATTTACAGACCACCCCTCTTCTCCTAGATCTCTTAAAGTCCTCTAGACTCTCATTTGCTACAAGTATCTGATCTGTTATCTGCCTCCCCTTCACAAAAGCTCATTGATTATTTGCTATGATTGTTGGGAGCACCTTCCTAATTCTAAAGGACGACACCTTAGTGATGATCTTATAAAGGCTATTAACTAGACTATCGGCCTGTAATCCTTCGGAAGACTTGCATCACTTTTCTTGGGTACCAAAGCAATGAAAGTGGAGTTTAGCCCAGGGTTAATTACTCCTCTGGTATGGAATTCATCGAATACCAACATTAGATCTTCTTTTAGTATTTCCCAAAAATCCTGGTAAAAAGCCATCGTAAAACCATTTGGGCCCGGTGCCTTTGATCTATCCATTGAAAAAGCTGCCTCTTTTACCTCTTCCAAATCAAATTTCTTTTCCAACCACTCCCTATCTTCTCTCTTCAGTGTTGGCCATTCCAAACCTTCCAGCCACACCCTATTATTTAGGGGCCTTCTAAATATATGCTTAAAATGATCTGCAAATGTTCCTGCAATTTCTCTTTGACTTGTGACTGTTACCCATTCAATCTCCAAATTGGAAATAAAGTTTCTTCTCCTTCTGCCACTTGCCAAAGCATGAAAGAACTTAGTATTCCTGTACCCCTCTTTCAGCCACTTGCATCTTGACTTCTGCCTCCAACTTATTTCCTCCTGAAGTATATAACCCTCTAGCTGCTTAGGCAATTTCCATCTTTGTTCCCCATCCTCTACTGTTAGGTTGCCTCTCTCTTCTTTCCTATCCAAATCTTCAATTTGTGTAGTCACACTCTACTTCCTTTCCTCCAGTCTCCCAAACTCTAGTAGATTCCATTCCTTGATTCTAAATTTTAGATATTGGAGTTTTTTGTGAAACCGCATCCCACACCACTCCACTGCTGGATTGCTCTCTGACCACCACTCTTCTACTTTCTTAATGAAACCAGGGTGTCCAAACCACGTGTTTTCAAATCTAAATGGAGCGGGACCCACATTTCTCACCTCCTCCTTACAAAGTACAACAGGCCAATGGTCAAAGGTCACCCTTGGGAGTGCTCTAGAGTTCAGATTCCCCCAATGTTCTTCCAAATCATTTGAAAACAAGAATTTGTCCAGCTTAGAGCAAATTGGGTTGGCTTGGAGATTGGACCATGTATAACACCTTTGTGACAATGGAATTTCCTTTAGTTCAAAAGCATCATAAAATTGGTTAAATCTCCTCATAGTTGTGGTAGACCTTTGCCTAGGACTATTAGTTTCTGCCAAGAATCTGATTATATTGAAGTCACCTAAGCACCATGGCCCATCCCACAAACCCCTTATGTCAGCCAGTTCTTCCCATAATTTCCTCATTTCTCTATAGTCATTTGGCCCATACACATTGGTATGCACCCATTCAGATTCATCTTCCACTTGCCTAAATTTCAAGGAAACTGAAAATTGTCCTATCAATTCCTCCAGACCTACAATTACCTCATTCTTCCACATTGTCACAACACCCCCTGCAGACTCCCATGAAGGTAAAGCCACCCAACTAATCCCCCTACCTCTCCACACACTCCTTGCCCATTTGATGTCGAAATCTGCTCTTTTAATTTCTTGTAACAGTACCACATCTGGATCTATTTTCTTGATGGCCTCTTTTATTACTGCTCTCTTTCTTGCACTACCCAGTCCCCTAACATTCCAGCTAATAAAAGGGTTTTTCTTCTTCTTTTGACGCAAAACAGGGGCTCTGCCCATTTCTTTCGTTCTTCTGGTTTTTTTGCATGGAAGGTAATGGTTTTTCTTTTTTCTTTTTCTGATTTCTGTTATTATTTTAGTTGTAGATGAAAGGGGTAAGGTCCAACCCTTCTTTTGACGCAAAACATTTCTTCTATTCTGTTTTTGCATGAATTTTTTGCAATGAAAACAGGGTCTCCGCCCTATTGCATTTTGCTCTTTTTTTGCTTCATTTTTTTCCTGTTTCTTTTGTATACAAACATAGGGGCTTCAACCTCTTATACTTTTCTTTTTTTCTGATGCAAAACAAGGGCTCACCCCCAATTTTCTCCATCTTATTTTTTACCCATGTTATGTTTTCATTATTTCATAAGACTTTTCATTTTATCTATGTGTCATATTTTAATTTTTAAGTTAGTTGTTCTTCTTGTTATGTGTCCTTTTGTTTATAAATGGTTGGAGGCAATGATAGAATATTGCATCCTTGCTGAACACTGAAGAACTCTATATTCCTTATTGATCAGTGAGGATTTTTTTGTTAGCTTCAGTGTATAAGTCTTCATTTATGTTGGTTTAGTGGATATGGTTAGGCTTATGATTTGGCTAGATTTGTAATTTATTATACATGTCCACATAGCATCTCTTTGGTTGTTTAGCAGTTTATGTCAATGGATGTGCTTATGAGTTATGGCCAATTATGCAATGGCATTAATTACCAAAAATATTATTAGATTTTAGAATTTAATTTCTTTAATTGCATTGTTTCACTATTGTATTCTTGTATTGATGATTTGGCTTAAATTATTGAAACTTGAAAGACATGAATATGAACATGATGTCATGTAAAGCTCATATTTATATAATTATTAGATCGTATCAAATAGCAATACAATTAAGGATATAATTTTTTATTGCTTAAAATTGAAGTTGAACTTGATCATGCCCATGGCATCTATTGAATTATGATTTATGAAAGTGGTGTAATTGTCAGACTCAGTACCAGTCTACTACTATAGTACTACTACTACTACCTATTTATGTTATGTATATAGGCTAAAAATTAGTACAAAGTCATTCATTTTCATAATTTTTTAGGGGTTTAGGCATTTTTGTAGTTTTTTGACAATTTTTATAAAAATCAGAATAAATCTTACAACTTACGATATGATTCGATTTAAACCTCTTTACGGTTTACGATACAATTACGATTTTCAGAACATTGTTTGTTAGGGTTTAATCAACATAGATGTTGCAAACTGCCATATTGAACCCTCGAAGACTTCAAAACCTGAACCAATAAGTAAGGAAGAACTTAAAATTTTATTCAATCAACACATTTTCTTCCTCGTAACATCTTCTTCAACATTTTCTTTTCTTCTTTTCCTATAAAAAAAATAGGAATTCAACCCCTATATTTTTTAATTTTCTTTTTTTTCTCATGAATATGCTGATTTTCTACATGAAGTTCATACTTATGAAAATTATGATATTATTAAGGAAATATGGTTATGAAACTTAGGGAACGCCCCTAGAATATGTGTTTTTTAGTTAAAAATCCATCCCCTAGGTGACTAGGTGACAAGGTGCCCCCTGTTGCCTAGCCTCGCCTTGGTGCCTTGAAAACTATGGTTCCAAGTAAATGGTGAGCTACATGATATAATTTACTGTGGTTCAAACATAAAATAGATGCCTAATTATGCATTTATGGGTGTGATTCTGTCCCCCCTGTACAAGCCTCTAATATGGTATTAATATTGTCCTATGTCTTCTAGATTACACTAATCAATAAGAGAATATAGATACTAGGATATAAATTAGATATTAGGATATTTTCCTCTCTACCAAAAAAAAAAAGATATTAGGATATAAATAATCCGGTTTTAATGACTTCCATAAGACCCATATATGCTAGTATACAACAAAAGAGCATTTGAACAGCAGAAAAGGCTAAAGAATTTACCTGCAGCTTCTAGTTGCCTCTGAAGTTCTTGCCCAACAGCTTCATTTTCAGCCTGGAAAATTATGAAATCAAGACTTAGCATTGATTTCAGGATCTAAGTAGCAAAATTTCAGAACAGGGGTGAGATTGCAGGAACAGAAAATTTTAGAAGCTCCCAACTTTAGGAGTGCCTTAGGAGTATTTATTTGTGCATGTATACATGTACACGTGTTTGAGAGTGTATGTGAGAGGGTGACTGAGGCAAAGAATAAATGAAGAAAGAGATAGAAAGGGGGTAAAATGGATATATTAAAAATTCAAAAATAAGGCAGAAAACGGAAATTAAATAAATTTTGTTTGAAAGATAAAAAATGAAAGAAAGAGAATGTTGGATGGTGGCAATACTTATCAATAATGAGTGATGGTTTTGAACACAGCTTTCAATTGTCAAGTCTATCATGAAAAAATAAACACACTCAAGAATATTCAAAGGATAAGGCCCTAATAATCTTCTGCAATTTTGTGGCCGGCACTTGTATTATTTCTCTTCTTTGTTTGGGTGCAGACAGACTCAGCGGTGAGACATTAAAAGCCTCTTCAGATCATGTGGAAATGTATAAGTGCAGCATTATTGGGCTGCATGTAAGAAGAAAGGAAAGCAAGAATTTTCAAAGGTAAGTCTAAAAGTAAAGAGGCTATCATAGAAAACATTATCATCAAGGTTTTGGACCCACACCTCATTTACAGTATCCATCCACAAATAATACTGGTTGATATGAGGTTGCATGAAATTTACTAACCAGCCCACAATTGTATAATTTTCTTGTATTCACCTTTTATAGGCAAGACCATCCTCCTTGGGTTGCTTCTTACTCCTAGTAATATACCCCCATTTTCCTCTACTGCAGACATGGATCTTAATTGACTGAAACCATGCTAGATAATTAGTCCCATGTCCCATCTAACTTCATTGAGGTTATGCCCCCAACAGTCTCCACAAACCTTGTTGGGCCAAACTGGGAGTTTGTAGGTTGTTTCATTTTCATCTCACCTCCAATTTGCTCCATTGGCCAAACGGAAACAAATGAAAATAAAGTTAGAATGCTACTAATAAAGACTCACTGCCCTAAGGCCAGAAGGCCCAGAACTAGTCTTCAATCAACCAAAGAAAGAATTTCACTGGACCCGGCAATACAAGAGAAAGGGAAAAAGTCTAGCCGCTCATACCAAAGGCTCCAGAAACCTCTCCAACTTGGAATGATCTCAAAGGTAATCAAAAACCTACTATTCTTACCCCAAGCACCACTTCCGAACTCCCTCTATACCCCTTAATCCAAAAACTCTCTAGTTAACTAGGGTTTTCGGGAAACACTCCAAGATCCTGCCTTGGGCCTCAAAGAAGCACTACAATCTTCTCCACTCCAAAATCCTCCTCCAACTGGGCTGAATAATTGTTAATCAATCAACTAATCAACACACCATATAACTTGTGTATGGGACTAAAAGAGAAAAGGAAGAAGGTAGGAACCTTGCTTTGATACCAAGTTGTAAATCCCGCCTGTAAAAGTCTAAAATAAAGCAAAAAAGAAGAGGAATAATGAAAAAGATGGAAAATAGGAAGTGTAGAAGAAGAAGATGGAAGAGAAAGAAAGAAAGGGAAGGAAGAGAGGTTGAATCTCCCTCTAGTCCCCCAAAATTATATTTTATTGTAATATCAACATAATAACATGAACACCCTTAGTAGGTTGGCCAGCACTAAAAGTAATAATAAAAGAAAGAAAACAGGCCCACTAATCACAAACATAAACATAAACAAGACTAAATAAAAACAAGAAACTATAGCCCATTTGGCCCATCATCTCTACACCCTCCAATGATTTTTCTTAAGGCTGTGTTTGGTTGCAGTGCAATTTTATTTGAACTAATACAAATACATGGGAGTGCAAATGAAAAGAATGCAAATTCTGGTTTAATTTTGTTCTGGGTTTTACTTTATTCTGCTTCAGGTCTTATTTTATTTACTTCATTTGTACTGCAATCAAACAAATGAAGGTAAATATTGAAATAAAAATAAACCATAATTTGCACCAAAATCATTTGCATCAGTGCAAATATATTCGCATTGCAACCAAACACAGCCTAAGGCTCAGTTTGGAAAGAGTACAAATACAAATATGTACAGTAAAAATACATACAAAATAATACAAAATACAAGGTTTTACACTCAAAAATATTTGTATTTGTACTCCTTCCAAACTGAGCCTATGGTGTTTGCATAGCAGTCTGTTTCCAAACATGAACAGCAATTTTAAAAACCTACCTCCCCCTATATACACAGTTCTGATTACTAAGGTCAGGCAACAAATTAATGAACACCATACCTGAAGTTCTGCAATCCGTTTCAATTGTGCTTCTTCACCTCCTTCTGACAATGGAAGTGCTGCAACCAATGCATCAAACTGGAAAAAAAAAAAGAAAAACCATTATTTAACTGCAACCAATGCAAGGTGCCAACTGGTTGGTTGGTAAGGGGCTTGGGATTGAATCCTGCCTACATCAGGGTTGGGGGATGGGCTACCCCCCCCCCCCCAATTGTGTAGCCCCATCTATAAAAAAAATAAAAAAACAACTTGAAATATTTCTCAAAAAAACAGATATAAAATCCAAACAATTTAGACAGTAAGACACCAATTGACAGTAATCTGAACAATCAAAAATATATATTGATCGTTATGCTCTCAAAGTTTCATAATATTCTGTCAATAAGCAGCAGATATCATTAGGAACACTCAATGTGCACAAAGAGTTAAAGACACAATTTACAAGTCATATGCATTGCTTGAGATTTTGGATGTGGTGTTGTTTCAAAAATCAAACTAGTTAGAAAATAGTAAGCAGAGACCATCCTAAGACAACAAATTATTCTATAGTCAGGGCAAGAATCATAACCCTGATCTTTTTTTTTTGATAAGTGAATTTAGATTTTATTAATTCTGAAAAATATAATCATTACAAGCATCCCTCAGAGGCATGAGATGCTACCTCTCTATAAACAAAACAGAAAAATTACAAGTGAGCCCAAAACAAAGATTGTCTATTCACCCCTTGCTTGGCTAGAGTATCAGCTAATCCGTTTGCCGATCTCCTCACCCAGTGTATCCTCAAATTCATATTCTTGGTGATCCACAAAATCCTTTTTAATTCATCCCTGTAGCACCATATCACAGATTCTGGATCCTTTAACCACCCCACCACCAATAGTTAAATCAGGGCAAGAATCATAACCCTGATCTAACTATTGATTCATTGAATGCTTGGAAATAAACCAAGAATGGTGCCACAACCTCCCTATGCATCATCTTTTCAATGGGTATATGGTGTGGCATGGCTGGCTTCTCTCTATATGTAGTTAGAACAAAATTATTAGGCTCATGCTAGCAATCTCACTTTTGAGAAAAGGGGTGGTTGATGATGGTGAGCATGAGTCCAGAAAGATTTTGTTGACATTTTTGTTGGTGTATTTTGGAAGGAAGGATTTAGTAGTTTATTGTGCAAGCTATGGGATTAATTCCTTAAGGATGTGTCTAAACCTATAAATAGTAATCCACCCCTTATTTTCCAAAGAAATGAAACAATCATTTTTTCCTTTTTCTTTCCCACATAATTTGCTTGTTTGTTTTTAGAACTCTACTTTTGAAGGTGAAGAAAATTTTCACTCTCCATTGAATCGATCACATTGCAATGGAGTAAGACTCTAGCCATCATCCACCACTATCACAATCTCTTCCTATTTTCCTCCTTTTCTTTTCTGTGCCCAACCACCGTTAACCTTCTTCACACCTTAGTTCAAAAGCAGTGTTCACACTACCAAGGAGAAGCTAAGGGGTCCTACCCCCCATCCTTTGAAAATGTGTCTAATATATGTTAGAACTGATAGAAAGACACCCTCCTCAGTGATGAACCTTGGTTCCACTCCTGTGTACCAGAGTTTGGACCATGCAATATTAATGTATTTGTAAGAAGACCAACTTTCAAAGGGAATCCCAAGTACCAAACAGGTAAAACCTTAACATGTACTGGGGCTTTTTGTTGCCATGTTGGACACATGCACTTATGCAAGAGGTTAGATCCAACATTAATGGATTGCATATGGTGGTCATACAGGGGGAAGGAGGGAAAAGACCTGATCACATGATATCATAACAATCTATTACATTCTTTACATTTAACACAGCCTAATCCATCATCTTATTGGATTTGTCATTAACCTTTTACCTTTAATGGACCTTTTGCCATGTCAAGTTCCTGTTTGATTGTTATTACCCACTATTCCATTTAGAAGCAGTACTTTACATGCATAAGATACTACTAATTTTTTGATTAATCACTTCTTAAAAAAAATTTCACCTGCTTAGCAGCTTTAACCAGAGTAGCACTCATGAGCTTGGGTTGTTCTGCAACATTTATTGCATCCTCTGAAGGATTAGCAGGTGGTTCTGGATAGTTTGGAGAAAGCCGCACAGGAGGGGCATCTCTTTGTAGTGTCCCAAAGGTATTGAAGGCAAGAGCAGCAATTGTATTGACTTGTTCTTGCAGCTGAGAGATGATGTCCATCTTACACTCTAGGGCTTATAAATCCAAAATGAATGATCCTGGATAAGAAAATGAATGAACAATCAACAAAATCAATATATACTCTGTTACGACCAAAGATTCCTGAAAGAATCTTAGGTTTGATCATCTTATACTTGTTCATGAGTAGCAATGCAATGATTCAACTCATTGTTTGTAAATTATTAAGATTTTATGACAGAAAGCAGAGCTTTTAAGTGCAACAAAGTTGCCACCTACTGCTACTAATTTCACTTTGGTTGAATCAAGAGTTCAAGACACTACAACCATCTTATAATGTTCAATTTTCATCCATTTCCTAAAGAAAAAGAAAACAAAGAATGAAAGAAAGGGAGAGTATAATCAAAAGGTCTACAAACTTTGGTTCATAAATTAATAGTTAATAAAAAATAGTTAAATATATAAAATAAAACAAATTCAGATGTCCTTAGTTCTTCCATGCCATGCCAGACCAGCTTTATGAGAAGTACACATATGTCTATATGAAGAACTTAGTAAATTGCCTTTACTGGACCAGATCCAGATCTGGAAAAAGGGAAGCAAAAATATCCTTCCCTATGAAGAGCTTCCCAAATCAAATCTCAAAGAGAAAACCCTCTTCAGTAATGATTTCCTCCATCTATCCTAGTTGACTGAAAGTAAAACCTATCACTATCACTAACATGCACTGCCAGCTTCTCCCAACCACTAAAAACTAGTGGCTATTAACCTTGCATTCTTTTTTTTTTTAAGAAAATATTAACCTTGCTTTCTACCTCTCATGAACTATGAGAATGTTCAGATGAACCTTGTAAACATGTTATACCGCTATCAGAATTTTCACATTAACATCTCAGTCACGTCCATGGTAGTAAGAAGTTTGGGTGTATCTGTTTTAAAACATCCTTTCATGGACTGCAAGGGAAATGTCCATTTAATTTACGCTATTTGTCTGATTTCAAGTATGGACTATGCTTCCTTTCTTATTGCTATTAGTTGTACTGTACCGTGAGAAAGTTGAGCTTATTTTGAATCTAATGCCCAATGTCAAGCTGCAAAACTATTAGAATCATCTTAGTTTGGATGCACTCAGTAAGTCAGTAGGTGGTCAATTAAACAGTCCAGGTAAGTAATACATGAAGATCAACCATCTGCTTACAGATCAAAACTCTAATATGGAACTTTGCCCACATGGGGAAATGGATAACTCACAACAAATATTCAGAAGCCTCTTTGAAGACATTGCAACTATAATGGTTGTAAATTCTGTTATTTGTGACACAAGGGTACTCTTGTCTTTTTACTCTTAATGTACTGCCACCCTAATATAAATAAGGTACTAGGTGCTCCCAGCCTAGTCTTTTTAGACTGAAAACTTTTCTCTATACTTCTCTTCTTCCTCTCTCTTGTTTTCTCTTATTTCTTGGATAATATGGTATCAGAGCACTTTTCTAGGTGCTAGAAGCAGATCAGTTCATGTTCTATGTCAGAAACTTTCCATTTTTCTTTTCTTTTTTTAATGAAGACTGTAGAAATACCTCTCAGCCTGATCTGAAGAACTAGTTTCCCCCTTTTTTTCTCTTTTTTCTTGGTTGTAGTGCCAAGAAAGATTATTTTGGTGGTGGCTGAGTGCTGTAATGGAAGCCTAGAGACCCCATGAGTTTGTGGATCATGGGGTCCTTCTACAGCTAGGTGTAAGCCTTGAAAGTGAGGTATGATAATGTTTTGCTACTGCTGAATGTATGATTAGTGCTTATGGTGAAAGGGTGAAGAAGTTATCCCTCATGGTTACTGAGGATTTGACTACTGTTGTTACCTCTTCAGAGGCTATGCTGAATGATGGGACGGACAGCATAACTTTTCCTATGGCTATCACACCTTTGGATGGGCTAAAATTCCTGGAATGGTCCAAGAGCATTAAACTTTACATTATAGGAAAGGGGAAAGCTGGTTATATCAATAATACAGTTAAAGAGACTAAGGTTGGGACTGTAGAACATGATAGATGGGACTAGGAAAATAGTATAATTATGTCTTGGCTCCGTGCTTCTATGCAGCCACAAGGAAGAATTTCATGTGGGCAAACACTGCTTATGAGATGTGGGAGCAAGTAAAGGCGACCTATGCAGAATAGAGGCATTATGCTAGGGTTATACCAGCTACAGGCTGATAGTTGTCAAGGCGACTAGGCAAGGCTAGGCGACCATGGGGCGCCCAGGTGCAAAGGCGTCGCCTAGGCGATGGAATCTATAAATTTAAAATCTATAGATTTTTATACTTCCTAAAGGACCTAAACTATTTTATAAGTTACATTTGCTTACTAGCTACACATTACATTAAGTAAACTATTCAAAATAAAGCATAATGCAAATCAGAAAATTCAATATTGCAATATTCACGTATTTCCTAAATCCTAAGTAAGCAAGCAACCATAATGCAAATCAGCAAATATTGCAATATACTTATATACAAATAGAAAAAAAAAAATCAGCCCTACAATCAAAACAAAACTGATAAAAAAATAAAAGAGCATTAGAGTAGTTCAGCCATGTAAAAAAAAACGTTAATGAAACAAAACAAAACTTAAAACATTTCAAATCTCAGATTTTAGATTCAGCATAGCATACAATCAAGTTTCAGTTCAGATTTTCAAAATAAAGCATTTCAAACATTTCAAATCTCAGATTTTCAAAAAAAAAAAAACAAAAGAATGGACTCAACTCAAGGAGTCAAGGGGCAGACGACTGTTGAACTCATGGCCTCATGGGGCAGAATGGAAGAAGAAGAAGAAGAAGAAGAAGAAGAGTGGAGAGAGGACTGACTATTGAGAGGAATAAAGGGGCTCCGCCCCTGTTTTTTCCAAAAAAAAAAGGAGGTTTGGTGGAGCCCCTGTTTTTTCAACTGAAATTTGAAGAAGAAGAAGAAGAAGAAGAAGTGACTACAGAAGAAGGGAGGACTGGCGCCTGGCCTGGCGGACTGTTTTTTCGAAAGAAAAAAGGAAAAAATGTTGAAGAAGAAGAAGAAAAACTTACCTGTCACTGCCGAAGCTGAGGTGCGATGGAGTTGGGCTGGGACTCGGATGCTCAGTTCGGTTCTCCTCCCTCTCCAATCGAACAAAGAAAACCCTTGTCTTAATACTAAAACCCTTTTGTTAACTTATCTTAATATTAAAATGATACTATAGCTGAATCTTCAAAATAGTGTTCCTTGCAAAAACAAGGAAGAATTTCTGCGGCCAAACACTGCTTATGAGATGTGAGAGCAAGTGAAGACAATCTATGCAGAATAGAGGCATTATGCCGAGGTATACCAGCTATAGGTTGAATCTTCAGCTTGTAAGCAAGGAGAATGTAGTCCATCAATTAATTATTCTGCTCTTACTTTGGTGTGGAATGAGTTAGATCACTACCAGAGCAATGACTAAAAGGATCAGGAGGATGCCAAAGCCTACAAGTAACCAGTGTCACAATAGAGAGTAATTGCTTTAATGTTGGATTTGAACTTGACCTTACTCATCAAAAAAAAAGGAGAGTAAGAGAACTGCTATGAATACTTTCTGAGGGGAGCCGATTGTTCTAGTTGCAGAGGGTGGTGGTAATGACGTGAGGAAGGGTGATCTCCATTGTATACCTGAAACTGATTTTGCTCCCACAACTATCATGTGATAGATACAGGATGGGTCAACCCATAGAAGGGTTTCAATTTATTCAAATGAACGATTTGAACACCTATTGATTCTAACAACTGATTGCAGAGTTGATCACTCGGACCTTTCAATTCATAGATGTGGATCTCGGACCTATGAATGGGGATATTCCCGAAACTCACAAAAAAAAAAGAAGTGACTTAGACAAAAAGAGAAGTGACTTAGACAAAAAGAGAAGTGACTTGGACAAAAAAAACGAGGTAACTTAGACAAATCTTGTTTGTCAATAACCTCGGGCCAATCAATCAAATATTGATTAATACCTAATCAATCGAACACTACTTGAAAACAGCTCTTCTGCTCAGAAATGAAATGTTCCAAATGTTCCTAGAAATTCTTGCTCCCATTGAACCATTTGTGTCTATATGCATCAACCCAAAAATTGTAAAAAAATGTAGAAAGATTACAGAAAATTGCAGAAATTTTGCCAAAAATATTGCAAAAAAAGTATGAAAATGCAGAAAATAAATGAAAATGAAAAACAAAATTGTAGAAAGTGCAAAATTCTGCAGACAAATTACATAAAATTAAGAAAATTGCAGACATTGCAGAAATTTTGCCAAAAATATTGAAAAAAAATGTATGAAAATGCAGACAATAAATGAAAACGCAAAAAAAAAAAATTGCAAAAAGTGCAAAAATTTTGCAGAAAATGTAGAAAAATTGCAGAAGTATTACAGAAAATGAAAAAAAAAATGGAGATATTGCAAGAAAATAGAGAAAACCTATCTTCTTTGCAAGCTCCGGCAATTTCTCCGATGTAAAAAAATAGAAAAACCCTTATTTTTATTGCTTACATCAGAAAAACCTAATACATTCTTTCTAGAAAAGAAAAATAATTAATTACAGACAAAACTGGAATTGAATAATAGAGAGAATGGAGTTTACGCAGAAAGCAACCTGAAGAAGAGTTCTGAAGGCTGAAGCTAAAAACTTTTCCTTTGAGATGTTCAAAGTAAAAGGGAATGTAACGTTAAACATCAGAGAAGTGAGGAAAGCCATGGTTTTGCTGGTAGGTATGGAGGTGATTGAGTGGCTCAAACTGTTCATGGAAGGAGCACTACAGTCAAGCAAACTTAGACTGGAAGAGCGCTAAAGAACAACAAGATCGAAGATACCTAGTAGAAAGAAGATGGAATATAAAAGGTAGATTCATTGCTCTGACCGAGTATTTTGGAGAAGGAAAGAAACAACTCGTCTGCTTTCCTGAAGGTAGAAAAGGCATGGTTTGGAGGGAGATAAAAAATATTCTACAGGACTTCTTGAAAGAGATGAAGGAAGGTACCGAGGGTGTTCAGTTTACTGGAGAAGCAAGAGTATCTCCAAGGGAGAAGG